AAGTCTGCTGGCTCTCAGGTGTGGGTGTCGGAGCTCCCTGTGATGTGTCCCCACCTAAAACCAGCGGTTTGGGCTTTTGGGAGTGTGTTTGGAGCTTTGTGAGCTTCAAAGGGAGCCTGGAAAATGATTCCTTGGGTGAGCGCGTTACCCGAGGCAGTCTGGCTGCTCCTGCGTGCAGGCTGGGCTGGAAATGCAGGAGCAGCAGCAGGGGCAGGGGCAGGAGCCTGCTGTGGAATGAGGGTGTGTGGGGATGTGTGTGCAGCTCAGACACTGCGGCGTGGAGTGTGGGGAGCTGTGTGTGCAGGGGGGACTGCCAGGTGTGTGTGTGTGTGTGTGTGTGTGTGCAGGAGGGAATGCCAGGTGTGCAGGAGCTCCCAGAGCACAGGGGTCTGTCACCATGACCTGTGACTATCACCATTGTCCATGTGTGTGACCTGTGCCCAGGTGGGACCTGTGACTGTCCCCATGCCCAGCTGGGATCTGTCTCTGTCCCCATGCCCAGTGGTGATCCATGCCTGTTCCCATGCCCATGTGTGACCCATGCCTGTCCCTATGCCCAGGTGTGACCTGTGCCTGTCCCTGTGCCCAGGTGTGACCCAGGCCATGGCTGTTCCCGTGGCCCTGCTGGGAGCTCCCATCCCCATGTCTGGGTGAGCCCTGCCGTGGTCCCCAGCTGTGCCCATTTACACTCTGCAGCCTGGGCTCTGTGCGTGCCGTGAGCAGGACGTGGGCGCCCATCCGTGCCAGGTGATATGCCATCTGCTCCCCGATGCCCGTGCTGGCTCCCGTCACGATCACCCGCTTGCCCCGGAGCATCTCTGTGACACAGGCACAGCCCTGCAGTCAGCCTTGTGCTATTAGAAAAACCTTAAAACTGAGAAATAACAAACCCCTGGGTGCCCTCCAGATCAGCAGGTAATTGGAAGGTAAATGAGTGTAACGCATCCAGCTCTCCCATCCCATGGAAAGGGCTCTCCCATCCCATGGAAAAACTGTGGAGCTGCTGCATCTCCCCGAGGAATGCAGGGACACAGGGACAGCTCTGGACTCTTCCAGCAGCTTTTTCCACAAACCAGGACAAAATTTATCAAAGCCCCAACTATTCTGTAACAACAGCAACCCACTGAGTGCGTGCTCCAAACTTTAGCCCTTACAAATCCCATTTATGAACTCTTTTCCTGCACTCAGGAAAATGGAGCACCCAGTGCCCTCTCCCCCTGCCTCACCTGCTCCCTCAGGAGGTTTTTCTGCACAGTCCCTGCTCAGTTTGGTTTAAATCTTTGTTAGAGCCCCTTTCAGTATCCACCACCCCACAAAGGCTCGGCCTTGCTCCGAGCTCTGACCGGTTTCCATGCAAAACACCCAAATGTGGCTTTTTGTCGTTCTTTCCTTAAAGCCAGAGTCCCTTTGGATACTCACCCGGTTTGAAGGCGTCCCTCGCAGAATAGAACCAGAAGGCCAAAACCAGTCCCAGGAAGGGAATGAGAATCTTTTGCAACCGACCCATCCCACCGTGGAGCCAGGAAATGCAGCAGGAGAGAGAAGGAAGGAACAAAAATCTCTGTGCAGAGCTGCTCCTGAGGGAAGCAGCGCTGTGACCCTTTAAAAACCCATCAGCCGAGGAGCTGCGGCTTCCAAAGGCCTGGAAAATCACGGCTGGGGGGATGGAGAAGCCAAGCCAAGCTTTGCTGTGCTCCCTGCAGCTCGGCCTGGCCAGCGGGGCTGTTTGGGTCCTGCCCGGCTCTTTTCATATTTCCTGTCCTACATTAAAATGCAGAATTTTGCACAACACCCTGGAAGAGGTGTGTCTTTGCCGAGCAGCATCAAGTTTCACTTGGAGAGCATCAGAGGGAGCCCGGTGCAGGTGGTTCAGCGTTGTCCCTCGTTCCTGCAGGCCCTGGGCACGGATGGGGCACGGGGGCAGCCCCAGATGGTGCTGNTGCCCAGGGATGGGGGGAGAATGGGGATCCCCGGGGATGGGGGAGAGAGTGGGGGATCCCTGGAGATGGGGGAGAGTGGGAGGGATCCCAGGGATGGGGGAGAGCAGGGACCCCCGGGAATGGGGGGAGAACGGGGATCCCCCGGGGATGTGGGGAGAGCAGAGAACCCCAGGGGATGGAGGGAGAATGGGGATGGGGGAGAGCGGGCACCCCCGGGGACGAGGGGAGAGTGGGCAGCCGAAGGAGTGTTGGGCTGTGCCAACAGCCTGTGCCAGCCTGTAAGCAGTGCCCAGATTTACGTGGCACAGGGAAGCAAATGGCTTTTGAGGCTGTTTTTGGGGGCAGACAGGTGGGATCCCCCTGCAGCAGGGGTGACAGGCTGAGGGGGCAGGAGAAGGAGCCGGGGTGGGGATGCCCAGCCCTGGGCAGGGCTGGCACAGCTCTGCTCTCACCTGTATCGATGAAGCCGAGGATGCAGAGCGTGATGGAGACATTTATGTTCTGAATGGTGAACTCCTGCCTCAGGGAGCTGAAAAATCCATCCAGGGCAAACTTAGTCGCAGAGTAGGGGGCGGTAAAGGGGAACCCGACTTTACCTGGGCACAGAGGGAAGTTCTGTGTTAGCACACGAGGCTGCTCTGCCTGAGCTGCTCTTCTGCCCTCCCTCACAGACAGGATTTTACCAGGGAAGTGCCATCCTGGCACCTGAACAGCAGCCAAAGCTGTGGCTCACATCTCTGCTCAGGGCATGGGCAGCCCACAGGAACCACAGAACCCTCAGAGAGGAGAGATGGAGCAAAGCTGGAACTCCTGTCCCTGGCCTGAGCTGCTCACCAGAGCCCTGACCAATGCAGCACTGTGGGGTTTAATTGGCCAAAAACCAAAATGGGGCGATTGGATCGAGCAGAAAACAAATTCCATCAAGAGAATCCCAAACCCATTGGGATTTGGGTGTTGGGGCTGGTTTTGGTGGGGTTTTAGTATTAAGCAGTTATGGCTCCTGGAGGGTGCCTGGTGTCCCTGTGTGCTGCTCTGGCACTCAGCCCAGGTGCCTTTGGGCTGCCCCATGTCCCCAGCCTGGTGGCACTGCCCACTCACCTGCCATGGATGAAACCACCACGATGCTGCCCTCGCTCTCCTTCAGCATGGGCAGGGCTGACGTGGCCATGGCCACGTAGCTGAGGAAATTGATTTCCAGCAGCTTCCGGACGTGCTCAACGTCCCCATCGAAAAAGCCAAAGTAGGACGCACCAACGTGGTTCAGGATCAGCATGTCAAGGCCTCCTGCCAGCAGAAAAACAGGCATTAGTGCTGGGGGAGAGGGCTGCAAGCAGCAAAACAACATTTCCTGGGAGAAGAATAAGTGCAATCCAAGGAAATCAGGTTTTTGGGTCAGAGCTGGGGCCTGTTATCTCCAGAGCAGGGATACAGCCTGGATGGTGGCTGCCAGGAAATATTTTGTTGTGATATATTTTGTTCGTTCGAAACACAAATGCCACAGCCCAAGGGAGATCACCCTGAGCTGTCTGTGGGACAGGAGGGAGAGGAGTGGGGAGCTCCCTATAGAGCTGGAGCATTTCTGAGCCGTGACCCTTGGCCACAGTGGCCAGAGCTGTGGATCCCCCAGACCCTGGCACTGGGCTGATGAAATCCAGGGCTGTGGCACTGCAGCAGGGTGCCAGGAGGCCACAGGGCTGCAATCAGAGCGCAGTTCAGTGTGAGAGGCAGCAGTGCAGGCAGAGGAGCGGGGTCAGTGTGAGAGGCAGCAATGCAGAGGAGCAGGGTCAGTGTGAGAGGCAGCAGTGCAGAGGAGCAGGGTCAGTGTGAGAGGCAGCAATGCAGGCAGAGGAGCGGGGTCAGTGTGAGAGGTAGCAATGCAGAGGAGCAGGGTCAGTGTGAGAGGCAGCAGTGCAGATGGGAGTGGGGCTGCAAGGGGCAGAGTTAGGGGAGGTTTTCCCCGTCTCTCCCTTTTTGCCCGTGGCAAACAGCAGGGCCGGGATGCTGGCAGCGTGCAGAGCGGGCTCACACGTACCCAGCGCTGTCTGTGCCTCCCTCACCACGTGCTGGGCG